TCAGACTGTGAGGCTAAAATAAAACGAATTTTAAGCTCAGCATGTATAATAAAATTTGGCTCAATCTCTTTATCCCTATGTTATTGATTTAGTGATAAACTTTATAAACCCAGTCTCGGATCGTCCAGGAACACTCTTTGCTCTAAGAGTGAGCTAAAAAAGCCACCGAGTTTCCTTCAAGAACAAAATCAACTGTCAGCTGTAACCAGAGCCAAGTGTTCACCTGCATCCACTGTGCTCTTTCTTTCAATAGCCAGAAATATCTTTGTCTCTGAACACATTTAAGTATTTGATTTAGGGCCAGCGACCAAAGCAAAACTCAAAAATAACCATCTCCTGAAAAACTAGAAACTTAACGTTTTAACACTCCTCATAGTTGGGTTTTGCCCTGCTTGCAAATGAACATTATGCTGAGAAACTTCTCTCTTACACAACCAAATTCAGCATTTCAAAAAATAATTTTTAAGGCTGATTCTTTATAGCCAACATATCCTATTTATACCCAGCAACCAATTATAGTAATTGCTTTTGAATTCTGATTGTGAAAATGTGCAAAGGGTACATACAGTGACATAGTAAAATAATACCACCTTAAAAGAAGTCCTTGCAACGCAATTTGAAATAACTTGCTTATAACAGAAGACCATGGACTGGAGAAGGAAACAGCTTTGCAAAGTAGAAACTAACGGATGTGTGTGCAGCATATGCAAAAACATCTTAAATGGACTTATGTAGAACAGTTATATGTGAGTAAAAAAAGGCAGTAATAAATATGAGATAATACATATTGAGAGTGAAATCAATATTTATAGTTCTCATTTCTAAAGTCTAGACATATTTTGAATTCATAATTCATGACACTTATATGGAATCATAATATTTTAGGACAGAGATATTAATGGCCTTCAGAATCATGAGATATACATTTGTGTTGTTTTAAGCCACTGAATTTGAATCTGGGGCAATTTGCTAGAGCAGCAATAGCAAACTGATGCATTTATATTTTTGAATGGATTTTAATACATGCGCATTCTCATTTTTTAATGAAATCCCTAGAATAATACATTCTTTTTGTCAGTTAGTCTAGAGCAGCGGTTCTCAACCTGTGGGTCGCCAACCTGTGGGTCGCGACCCCTTTGGAGGTTGAACTACCCTCCAAAAGGGGTCACCTAAACCATTGGAAAACACACATATAATTACATATTGTTTTGTGATTAATCACTATGCTTTAATTATGTTCAATTTGTAACAATGAAAATACATCCTGCATATCAGATATTTACATTACGATTCATAACAGTAGCAAAATTACAGTTATGAAGTAACAATGAAAATAATTTTATGGTTGGGGGTCACCATAACATGAGGAACTGTATTAAAGGGTCGCGGCATTAGGAAGGTTGAGAACCACTGGTCTAGAGGGTAGAACATTTAAGGCCACATCCCTGGATTCCTAGCCAAATGGAAAAATTAACTCAAAATTCTTCCTGTTTTTAGGAGTCCTAATCAGAGATACTGGCTAATTTCAAAATGATCAGAAAAATGGCTTTCTTTTCTCATAGAAATAAGGACAAAGGGCAAACGCCCTGACAATTACTTTGTCGGTTTACTTTTGTAAGATTTTCTAATTCTGAAGTACTACACAACATGGGCTTACCATGCATCACAAAGTGCAGAATACTAATACTCAGCAGTGGAGTAATTGCTCCTAATGTCATCTCCATAATATGCCATCTGCTCTATGATCCCCACCACAGGCAGGGTGGTCGGCTGGGGCCACTGACTGAAATAATGGCCCATTGGGAAAGTGCCTTTCAGTTCTCAGTTACTAAACCAACAGGGGGAAAAGCCATCTTATAAGAACTATTTAGAAGCTCAGAAAGGTTATTTCAAATCTCTCCTTGACTGTTTCATTATCCATATGTTTATATATTCTCTAGAAAAGGGCAGCACCGTTTTAAAATTATGAAGATTTTTTTAAAGGAAACCTAGTTATGTACCAATTATGGAAATACAAAGTTAAGAATTCACAAAAAGTAAAGTAGACTCGCAAAAAAAATTGTAGCATATTAAATATAAACAAAATGCATCCTTGTTTTTTAGAACTTGGGAGTGTTTTTATAATAATAGTTTTTAAAGGAGATAATCATTATTAAAATTCATCTAATTTATTAGGATTGGTCAGAACAAACGTGTGTTGAATCAGTGAAATTACATTCTATAGGTCTCATCCAGTAAACTGTTTAAATATAAGATTGATTCTAGTCCTTTCAGGCTGCTATAACAAAATACCATAGACCAGGTGCCTTATAAACAATCAACATTTATTACTCGCTGTTCTGGAGGCTGGAAGTCTGAGATTAGGGTGCCAATAAGTATGCAAGGGTCCTCCTGTGGGTTGCAGACTTCTAATTGTATTGTCCCCTGGCAGACGGTGATAGGCGCTCTATGGGATCTCTTTACGAGAGCTCTAATCCCATTCATGAGTGCTCCAATCCTAAAGACTCAAGCACCTCCCAAAAGTCCCACCTACTAATACCATGCCTTTTTGGGGGACTAGGATTTTAACATATGAATTGAGGGGGATGACAAACAAGCAATAGCAAGATTGAAAATTAAACCACTGGAAACACAATAAAAAGATATACAGTTGACTCATGAACAATACAAGGTGGTGGAGTGCCAACCCCGGTGGTTAAAAATCCGGGTATAACTTTTTACTCCCCCCAAACTGAACTAGAGATAGCCCTTTGCATCAGCAGGTTTTGCATCCACAGGTTTTGCATCTGCAGATTCAACCAACCGAAGATCAAAAACAGTATTTTCCATCTGTGGTTGGGAATCCACGATCGGAAACAGTAGTTGGGAATGTGTAAATACTGGTCTTGATCTGGAGTTGGTTGAATCCACTATACGAAGGGCCAACTCTATTGAAAAAACCTGTGTGGAAGTGCACCCACTCAGTTCAAGACCATGTTCTTGAAGGATCCGCTCTATTCCATTCAGAACACTGTGCAGTGCCTAATTTCAGGAGAGGTAAACTTGTTCATTGGATTATTATTCCATAAATCAGTAGAGATTTATTCCAACTAATATCATTTATTCAGTTTGGGCATGCCTGGATTTAGAGCTAAAGACCTACACAGAGCCAGTAACTGCTTCCTTTTATTGAAAAAAAAATAGTAATTTATGCAGCTCTATGAGTGTAAAGTAACAAGTTATTCTCAGCCTTAATGTGCTCATGGCAGTACTCCCCAAGACCCCACTCACCTAGAGGTACCCTTCTGCCTCCCAGCGCTCACTTCGTGCATTCCTACTCAATTCCTCTTGGCAAATTCCATGCCCAGTTCTCAGCCTTCTCACAAACAGGGCTAGACAGCCAGGAAGAATGCTCTCTCTCTCTCTCTCTCCTTCATAGCAAGTTGTGCCAACAAACCTATAGCTAAGGGGTGTGTGTGTGGGGGAGGGCTGACATGATTACCTGCCTCATATTTCTGCCCAAATCAGTTCCTAAACTTCTATCCACTTCA